ATCGAGATCCAAACCACAAACTAAAAAAAACCCCATAAACTAGAGAACACTACACAAAATGTAAACCAAGACGATACTAATACTAATTAATTATAGTTAGCCGGATAGTCTTTTTTTGAGAATAATGTTAACAGCTATAACCGCATCAATATGACTAAAATGTATAGACAAGTATTTGGTCTGAATATTTTGTGTGTAATATGTTTTATTTTAGGCTCACGTGATTTTTTTAAAAATTAACAGATGTGATAAATGAATAATGTAAACAAAAACGCTACACGCGTTTTCCACTCTTACCGTCTTATAACAAATATCACAGCATTGTAAAAAATATGTATAGATTAGATGATTTTTGTTAATTGTGAGTTATTAGACTGTTTCAGTGACATATGAAATAATATCATTGTGCCTTAGAGTACTGAAATATTTGACAAACCTTGGTCTAACAAGGGGTGTGGCTGAGTGACATCAAAAAGATATTTATCGGCTATTTTAAACAACGTTCTAAAGGTGCAAATGTGGTAATTGATGAATATGAACAATGCTTCAGTAGGGAAAGTCGGTAATCAAGATAACGCCAATAGTGCCAACCAACTAGATAGCAGCATTTCGCGAAAAACACAGTCATGAGTGGGCAATAATCCCTATGGAGTTGCCTTAATGCGAAATTCTATTTTCGTATGGTTTATGGTTTTTAGATAGAGCAAAGGATTTTTTCAGTCTATGAATTCCTATTACACGTTATCTATGTCATTTTCCATTCACTCTTTGGTCAGCACGCCACTGTCTCGCCTACAACTGGTATATCGAAACGAAACTAGCCGACATGCACTTTGACACGCTCAATTATGCAGGTCGCCGAGAGATTAGAAACAAAATGGCGGCGTGATGTCAAAGCGAAGCGCACAGCGCTCAAAAGGAATTTAAACACATTTGGAAGATCACCTTGGTGCAAAATAAATATTTTTCACTTGCTCTTTTTCACTTGGGTGCTGTAAACTAATAAATGTTGAAATAACATCGTTAACAATAATATGGTATTCCACTATGAATGTGAACAATTATTATGAACGTTTTAACATCTCCATTGGTACGTACATATCCATTTCACTGGTAAGTATACTTTGTGTTACATCCAATAAAATCATAGGTTACATATCAACAACACCCAGTATCAGTTTACCCTGGACTATCTGTTTGTCATTGATCATAATATGCTCGTTTCCATCTCTATCTTATAACTTCGAATATGGCATTTATTTTGTGTTTTTGTAGTATATTCGAAAGTGTATATTGCTGTCACTTGGTTCCAGATTCACGATTACTGGTATTTAGGTTTACTTCTTGGGCGCTTTACTACCAACAGATTAGTCGATGTAACCAAATTGTGCTCTAAATTTTTCTTGTAAATACACATATTTGCATATTTGCAAATACTCTGTTCTAGTGTATGCACCCAGCTCGGATTCCATACAGTTATAATTTTCTATAATTTGGTAAACGATCTTTTACTGATCCGTCAGCTTTCCGTTCAACCAGTGCATTTTCATTTTGTCGTGATAAGTGAAATAATACGAATCATTGAAACCCTCACCGGGACAATTATCACACGCTTACGCATTGGGATACTTAATATTATAAGCCATATGATTGTTATAGATCTGTTGTTTTCAGTTATTTATGAAATCCAGTTTCTAATTCTGACTTCTATTTTACTGTTTGGAACATGACACCATATTGTACCAAGTTTTAACCCATCTATTATTTTACATCTATCAATCTTTTCTTTTGTCTTATTTTCAACACAATGTAGAAGCTCTGTTACGTCCTAAATTATGTCTTTGTTTTCAGTTACTAGAATGTTTTATAAAAAAACTGCTGGTATTACGAACTTACTGCAGGCGTTTGTATTGACGATTGAATAGAACCGGATAGTGTGATTTATTAGCAGACATCTGGTGAGATTCAATTCAATTTGCAAACTGGAAAAAAAAACTGGAGAATAACAAACGACATAGCGAACCACATTTGGAAATAAGGAAAAAGTATTTCAACTTGGAAAACGACTATTCAAACAACAATTCTATGAAATTTCCTTACAAAAAATAAGTTTACCTTTTTAGATAAACTATTTCAACATATCAGCACTGCCAATGTGACCCCTTAGCTCCTTGGTTATTTATCAGCACAGCATTTAAATACAGCCCCGCATACATGTTATCGTTACAGATCGCGCTACCACAATCGTATGATCCACATCGTAGTAAAAATGGTCGGAATTTGGTTCCTCCTCGCAGCAGTCCTCCAGGTGCAGGTTAGTGTAAAATATGCTATGTTTATCAAAACGATATTATATTGTGTCTTTCCTGTATACATTGCATAAAGTAGTCTTGTTGTACATTACCATACAGTACTACACAGTACTACAACTTCCTAAATATATTCAATGATTGCCAATCAATGTAGAACATTCAATGTGTATTATAATACATAGAATAGGAAAAAATTATAGCACTTCTCACCAGTAATGCATCAATGGTACAAATACTATTTCAAATGATGTTTGAGATTGTCTACAAGGTATGATACCAATAGATTGGTATGACAAACGTTTATTAAACTACATATTCAGATATCCAGTGTTGCAATGTGGTGTTTAAACATATTTGACCACACTTTACTATTAACTAAAACACAAATTAGACCCTTAAGCATATGAATTGAAAATAAACCACGTGGTGTTGGTCAAACTTATAGTATGTGTCATATAGACCTTGTTGCTCATAATTTGTACATTAAATCGGCCAAACGACTGCATTGTGACGACTAATGCCATAATGATGTTTGTCTGTGTGAATGTGTGTGTAGATGTGTGATGTATCTTTACAAATCATGTGGGATGGATGGCATTTTGTATTAATCAGGTAATTGCATAATAATTAAACACGTTACACTCATTGTACTGCTTCTTATCTAATAATTATTTAAACTATGTATGATAATTAGCTAAATTATACCAATCAACTAAATCTGTTTAGATGCGAAGGTTAAAAGTTGTATGTTATATGTTCAGTAAGCATAAAAAGTATTAAATTTACTTTACAAGAAAGCACTTTCTATTATTTAAATTATGTAGATCAGTGGTATTTCTGTTTTGTGCTTTGCGAGAATGTCCACTAAAAAACTGATGATGTCATCTATATTTTGTACTGTCAATACTTTTGATTGCGTTTCTAAACTTCTCGTTGTTAACCCAATATATATAAGAATTGTATTTACACTATAATTTAATAGCGTATTCATTTTGAGAAAGTCATCACGATTCGGTTTGATATGGTTATCGGTTACGATCCAATATCGTCGGTTGGAATTCGACTCGTTTGATGCGGTTCATATGACTTTAGCATTTATGAGACCCCCCCCCCCAAGTGCATGTTATTCGATTTTCAATTGATACAAAGTGGTCTAGTGAAATGGATTTTTTTTATAAATATTTGTAAAAAGACCCCTATGTTGATCACAATTACCCTACAATGAACAAATCTCGAAGATGTTTGGTGTTAACTTGTATTACGGTCTCAAGAGTCACAAACTTTTGGCATCAGAAACACGCTGTAGATGTATTGAATTAAGTGTTGGTATCTGC